TGTTTGTGAAGCCGCACGAAGATTCCAAACACCTGTCACAGATCCAAGTCGGGGTGACACGCATGACACGCGACAGAAACAGTCATTAGACGACAGGCAACAAAGAAGGGCGACAAGTGTACAAGTACCTGCCATCAGCCCAGCCAGTGACTCGCGGCCGGCACTCCCTTTGAGACGAAGAATACGACAGTATATCAAGGCACGATGGAGGAGGGTCACGTCCTCCTTGTCAGGCACAGACAGTGGCGCCTGTTGCGAGTCAGTAGGGGGTCTCTCAATCGCAGCTTGTCGAATCGCCAAGGGGTGGACCAGGTCGTGAGAAACGCTGGTGCGATCGGCCCAGGCCGAAGGACGACGATGTCGTTGCCAGAAAAAGCTTCTCTTGAACGCCTCATGGAAAATCGCCATGCTCAGTCTAGCCTACGCCTCCGAAGCTACAGCTTTCTTGCACGCGTACCCGAAACGGGTGGAGAGGGACGATGTTGTGGATGGCATCGTCAAGGGGCCTGAAACAAAGGTGGAATGCGGGCCCCTTGTCGCCCGCGGCTGGTGAGCTTAGAAACAAGAAAAGAGGTTGCCAACGTGTTGAATCGGCGCGTAGTTCTACACGAACGCGCTGGTGGGTCTCACTCGTTCGCTGGCGGCTGTCAGTCACCTACCCGGGTGGTGATCTGTGATCCTCCACTGTAGAGACACAGTCTGGTTCGTGAGGCTCGACATGGCGATCTCGACTTTTTTTTTTCTTTTTTGGGACAATCGCGCTGAATGAGGAGGCCGTCGCATCGCGTATCGAGATTCAGGTGACGGCCGAGGGCTAGGCGAGCAGGCGATCTGGATCAAAGTCAGCTGGAGAAACGGGGAGCTTGGGCCGTGAGGCGTTGGGTTGGCTGAGGGGCTGTCCCAAGATGGTGTTGAGCTTGGCGCCAGATGCCAGTGAAGAGGGTCTGGTGCGGGTCCTGAAGCTCCAGATGATACCGGGATATGGCAAGACGCCTCGCGAGGCATACCATGTAGGAGGAAAAGGAGAAGATGTGCCGTGCTTCGGCATGGAGTTGTGAAAACGGACATGTCGTTGCGAGGTAGGGAGCCCGAGGTAGGGAGTCCGAGGCATCTACTGGTACTGGCCGATTTGTGCAAAACAAAAGGGGTTCGTCGACAGAGGAAGGAGGTACGCACACCCAGGCACCTTCCCAAGCTTCCTCACCTTTTGGTAGCTACCTTCCTTAGGTACCTTTTGGTAGCTACCTACCTTACCTTTTGGTAGCTACCTTCCTTACCTTTTGGTAGCTACCTTCCTTGCCTTTTGGTAGCTACCTTCCTTACCTTTTGGTAGCTCCCTTCCTTACCTTTTGGTAGCTACCTGCCCTGTCCTGCGAAATGGCACCCTGGCAAGCCTGGCTCCTCCTCGCTCCTCTGATCTGCACCCCTTCCATGTGTGGCTTGTGCAGGTGCAGCGAGGTCCACTTAAACTGAAACATCAAGGGCCTTCCGGTACTGTCACGGCGATGCAGTGAGGGGGATCACCATTGGCAATGGTGCTGGCAATGGTGCTGGCACCGGTGCTGGCACTGGGACTGGCATTTGAGAACTGCCCACTGACATTTGTGCTCGTGCTCGGGGCTCTGGTAGGGCATCGTTCGTCCGTCCCGGAAGCCCCGACCAACATTCAACAGCCACTGGCTGCGGCATGAAGGCAGATGCCCAGGGTCGCTGTAAATTCTCCGCACCCCCCCACTGATCCTGAGTTCAAGCTCATCACTCTTTTCAGGGGCCGCGCGATCTCGACTCTGGTGTCATTCCTCCCACCATGACCGACGGCACAGCACCTCATTCGGCAGCGTGATGGAGGATGAGACGCATCTCCTTCCGCCAAACGATCAAGACGCCTTGAAGCCACACACCAACCAAACGCCGTCTGACTGTGTCCTTGCGATGCACTGCCAGCTGGTGGTCCTCCGCCCTGTAGTAGCTTCAGCCAAGTTCCTCTATCCCTGTCTTCGTTTCCCTTTGATTACCCGTGCCTGTACACCCGTAATACGGGCATGCCAGGAGCAGGAGCCTGGAGCCGTGTCAATCCTGTATGCACCTTATTCTTCACGTAAGGTAGGCTGACCCAGAGATTGAACAGTTGAACAGGCGCCTTGCACACCGCCCTCGCGACACAAGAAACCGAGGGCAGATGGGCAGAGACAAGAGAAGCAAGTCGTCAAAGCCAAGCACCGAGGGAGTACCAGGTAGCTGCCCTCCGTGTGGAGGAGATGGACCCTGATTGCCCCTGGTTTGGTCAGAGTCGGCCAAGTGACCAGTCAAGACAGCATGCCGTCC